CTATTTGTGCAGGTAAGCAAGAGCTCAAGAAAATGCTATATAGTATGTATTGGAAAAAGTAAAATGGCACTTATGTTTGTTTGGTAGAATTGCGAAGTCCAGTTGTGCTGAAGAGCTAAAGAAACTCTTGTGTTTTGATTGCAGTTATTGTACTCTCCCATTGAGAATATCCAGAGAGTAGCTGCAGGTGTACTTTGTGAACTGGCTCAAGACAAGGAAGCAGCTGAAGCAATTGAAGCTGAAGGAGCAACTGCCCCTTTAACAGAACTGCTTCATTCTAGGAATGAGGGTGTTGGTAAGTGAACATTTAAAAAAACAAAAAAAAAACAAAACTTGTATGTTTGGATAGAAAACTTGACTGTTACTAAACTTGCTCTATTTCAATAGCAACATATGCAGCTGCAGTGCTGTTCAGAATGTCTGAGGACAAACCACAAGACTATAAGAAGCGACTTTCTGTTGAATTGACAAGCTCTCTGTTCCGGACTGAGCCAATGGCTTGGAATGAGGTGATTTGCATCTTTGTATTAACTCTTCCCTGGGGAGAACCGTGCTTCCAGGTCCTCCTTCCTTCCTTCCTTGTAGCGGAGTGTAGATGCCTCCAGTAATACAGGTTCATCTTTGCATGTGGTTGCAGCTGCTGTACTTTCCACATGTTGAGGTTCTGTGAACCTGTGCTTTTAGACCTCCAGGAAATGATACAAGCTTGATGTGTGTACTCTTCCTGTAGGACAAGACTTTATATGAGGCTGAGGGTTTGGGGAATCCATTGCATAGTAGAAGAAAATTTTGCAGAACTAGAGTTCCTGAAGCATATAGATTTGTTTGAGCGAGATCAAGAGCAAGCAGCCTTAGAGCAGCTGTTCTTGAGCTTTCCTTGCAGATATGAAAAGTCCATTCAGATTTGAGGGAAGCATAAATATAAATGTGTTCTGTGAGGCTTCCTTCAGGCAAACCATGTAGCTTGAGGTGGGCATGCAACTTGTATTCTCCTTAGGATTAAGCTCTGAGATTTGAAAATATTTGCAGGCTAATTATCACGCATTGCCCTTTTTGATGCTTAAAGGGCTCTAGAGTGAACTGAGATTGAAAACAAATTGTGTGCATGGGGTGGAGGGATGGCTTCGCCAAGTCTCTTCCTTCTCCTAGATTCTTAAGGCTCAGGAGCCTACCTTGTCCTCTATGTCCTTACAGTACAGTAAGGAGGGACTTCCAGGACAGTAGTCTTTGATTTGTACTAGTTCAGTGCTTACCCTTCTGTGTCCCTAAAATCTGTATACATCCACCACAGTTATGTGAAGAACAGCTAAAAGAGGATATCTCTTCCAGATCAGAGTCATGTAATTAGATTGCAGATATGCAATTCTGTAATTGGACAAACTTGGGGAGGTCCGTTCAAAACTATTAAGTGCTATATTGCTGGCTTGCGAATCTCTGAACAGCTGACTTGCAAAAGTTGGGCAGGTATCGCAGAGAAGGAGCGTTCCTAGACCTGCCCTATCTGTCTTGTTCCCAAACAAACCTCCTTCCAGTGAGCTATGGATTGCTGTGCCTAAATTTGTCTGTTATGTAATAGATGCAGATGCTTGGGTTAAAAGGCTTTTTCATTTTCACATAAGTACCATGCTGCAGTGCTCACTGCAGAAGAGTTGCTAAAAATGGGTTTAGGGCGACCTTTAAAACTTCTGAAACACTAAATAACTAATGTTGCCCCAAAGACCTGACACTAAGAATGTTTTGTTACTTTTTCTGTACCTCTAGACGGCAGATCTCGGACTTGATATTGGTGCCCAGGGAGAACCTCTTGGATACCGCCCAGATGGTATGTGTCTTCTGTTCCCCTTGACTAAACTTAAGTTGGATGAAGTCAAGTCATAGACTTAAAGGAGAACCACAAATGAGCAAAGAGTGATTCACTCTTCAGTGAGATGCTGCAAACTGACAGGCAGATGGGGAACTGCCAGTTCCAATAACCAGTTTCTGCAACAGCATCAGCTGTATTGAATTGGGAGCTGTATGAATGTGCAAAACTGGTGTCTCCTGTCTTTAGTCTTGTGAGAGCATCTCCCACTGAGCTGCTGTTTCCACAGATCTTTTAATTCCTTTATAAATGGGCTTGACAATTCCAAAAGTGCGATTTTTCTTTAAAACAAATCCTGGTACTTGGCTGTATTAGTCCATAAATGTCTAGACTTGAACTCAAACCTATCCCTAAGGATTTGAAGCTATTTTGACTAGTCTTTCCAAAGCAAGTCTACAGTCCTGGAGGCTGGTTTTGCTGCAGTATTGTTGAATTTTAGTATTGTTTATTATGCAGACTAATGGCTTGGCTGGAATCTGCTCATGCTTCTGACTGCAGTGTGCTTTGTCTGCAGAATCACACTGGAAGGCTGTCTCAAACAATGGAGTAGCCATTAGGGGCAGCCAACAGATTCTTTTGAACTGGGCTGAACTAGGAAAAAAAAAATAATTAGATGGCTATAAAGATCTTCTCACACACTTATACTTGCAGCTTCTGATGCATCTAACATCTGTTAACATTATGCTTTGTTTCCCTCTGCCACCTTTAACTTTCTTAGATCCTAGCTACCGTTCTTTCCACTCTGGCGGATACGGTCAGGATGCCTTGGGTATGGACCCTATGATGGAACATGAAATGGGTGGCCACCACCCTGGTGCTGACTACCCAGTTGATGGTCTGCCAGATCTTGGCCATGCCCAGGACCTTATGGATGGGCTGCCTCCAGGTGACAGTAATCAGTTGGCCTGGTTCGATACTGACCTGTAAATCATCCTTTAGGTAAGAAGCTCAAACCTTGAATTTAAAAAAAGAAAATGGAAAAAAAGGAAAAGCAAAACAGATTAGTGGACTGAGGACTTGGTTGGCAGGGAGGGAATGGCTTAAATGGGTCCCAGTTTGCAAGAACACTGAATAAATGCTCTGGAAATGTGATTGGTACACTCCAAACTGACTTCTGCCGTGAAGTGTGGAAGTAATTAACTGTAATGTCTTGTGCACCAGCTTCATGCAGTCTTAATATGTTAAAATAACCATTTACTCAAGAACACTGACACCTTTTTTTTTTTTTTCCCCCTCCTCTCTCTGCAGCTGTATCATCTGAATGAACTTGCATTGATTGGCCTGTAGAGTTGCTGAGAGGGCTCGAGGGGTGGGCTAGTATCTCAGAAAGTGCCTGACACACTAACCAAGCTGAGTTTCCTATGGGAACAATTGAAGTAAACTTTTTGTTCTGGTCCTTTTTGGTCGAGGAGTAATAATACAAATGGATTTTGGGAGTGATTCAAGAAACGAAGAATGCACAAGAATGAATTGCAAGATGGAATTTATCAAACCCTAGCCTTGCTTGTTAAAAATTTATTATTTTTTTTAAATCTCTGTAATGGTACTGACCTTGCTTGCTTTGAAAGTAGCTTTTCTTTTTGCAGTAATTGTTGTTAGTTTTTTTTTTTTTTTAAGTCTCTTGTAGTATTAAGTTATAGTGAATATGCTACAGCAGTTTCTAATTTTTAAGAATTGAGTAAAGGTGTAGAACACTAATTCATAATCGCTCTAATTGTATCCTGAATAAAGTGTAACATTGTGTAGCCTTTTTGTATAAAAAAAACTAGACAAATAGAAATGGTCCAATTAGTTTCCTTTTTAATATGCTTAAAATAAGCAGGTGGATCTATTTCATGTTTTTGATCAAAAACTTTATCTGGGATATGTCTGGGTAGGGGCCAGTAAGAACTGTTTATTTGGAACCTTGTATTGGACAGTTTACCAGTTGCCTTTTATCCCAAAGTTATTGTAGCCTGCTGTGATACAGATGCTTCATGAGAAAAATGCAGTTATAAAATGGTTCAAAATTAAAGTAAACTTTTAATTCACTCTGTGTCAATTTATTTCAGATTGTAAAGTGTATGCATGGTTACAGTTCTTGAAAGTTGTCCTGCAAATGTAGAACAAATTCAGTACTTCAGAGGAAGAAACCAAGACCCCTTTCGCTACTTTCCCACTGTGGACTATTCATCTCTTGCAATGCAGAATCCAAATGATTTGATGCAGTTTTTCTGCTTTGTACTGAAGATGCTTTGCTAAGGCTGATTCCCCAGTATTGGGTCAAGTCTAGCCTGACCTGAGGCAACTATTAACTTCTGGACTTTTTTTTTAAAAAAAAAAAAACAACATATTAGTTCAGGTCCATTATCACTTTAGACAAAGGTCCTTTAAGAACTTAAACCCCTTTTCAGCTGTCCTCAGTCTTCAGTTAGTTAGTGTATGTAACTCTCCTAGGTTGAGGAAGCAGGGAAAGCAGTTTTCAAACTGCTGGTAACTCCTAGTCTGTGCCCATCAGCACTGACCAGCTGTCACCAGCCTTTCTTTGCCTAGAGCACATGCTGCTTTGCTGTTCTACCTCAGTGCAGCAGTTTGCAGCCCTCACAGTGTGAAGTGAAAGATCATGGCCTTGGGTTGTAGCCCAAGGGGCTGAGAGCTGACTGAAACTGCAAAAGTAAGCAAGGGGCTTGCAGTGGCAATCTGCCTGCACCCCTGGAGCAGTGAACCCTTTTGCTTGTGGAGCAAAGCTGGTGTAACTGCAAGCAGAGGCAAGTCTCATCATTCAGCAACCCTGCTTTCTCTCAGTCACACTTGCACTAGAGGACCATTACTAGAAAGCATCTTACCAACTAAAAGCTACCTTGTAAGAGCTTGCAGTAATCTTTTTCCCATATCTAGTAACTCTAGCTGTCATTTCAGCTGTTAAGCTACAAAAAAGAGACAGGATGTCATACTTAATGCAGTATAAGAAAACACCAGTAAAAAAGTACAAACAAAAGTCATTCTATTTGCCTGGGGTTGTTTGCTTGCCTCATCATCATTCAGAGAACTGGACTCTCCAAAATTAAGCTTATAATGGCAACTCTCAATAACGAACTGCCTTAAGGTGTGGCAATAACATAGTTGCTATGGGGGGGGGGGGGGGGAGGAAGTAAATTAGCTCACCTGTTTTCCAAGAGGGGATATAGCCAGGCAGGTTGTCAGCTGAGAACAACACTACTTCACCAAAGCAGCTTTAAGCTGCACAGTGCTAGGCATCAATGGTACAGATGTCCTTGCAAAAGAGCCTATTATATTAAGTAAGTTTAAAAAAAAGAAAGAAAAAAACTGCTCTAGCATGCTTACATGACTCATACACCAATACTTAGCCTTTATGTGATCACAGGGTTGATTCTGGTTGTGTGAGATGAAGTAAGTTGTATTTTTTGGTTAAAAGGTATTATCTAGAGCTAGCCCTAGGCATGAATGAGATGACCCCTTAACATGAACTGCTATGACAGTCACCTAATTTAGAGTCCTAACAGCTCAAAATAAACACATTCTGCTCATCTTGTGAAAGAACTATACTATTTATTTAATTTACGCTTTCCAAATGTTCAATGTCAAATACTTGAACTATAGCACATCATAGTGTCAAAAGTACAAGCACAGGGATTCACCCTGACCAAAACAAAAACAAAAAAAACAAACAGAAAAGTTTCTCTCCCTAAGTCCTTTCTCTCCCTCAATCATGCATATGCTCATCCACAGCTAAAACTCAGCTAGCTGCCTAAATTCATTAGGTCTGCCCAGCTCATTTGAAGAGGTTCAGGCCAGAAGTGCTGAGCAGCTCCAGCACTTGTGCATTTCATCAGCCTGCTCAAAAAAATGGCTCACTGGGTAGTCTTGGTATTTTTGCGTCCTGCTGTTTTCAGAATTTCAAATGCCAAGGCAGCAACAGCAACATCCGCATGGGAGCTGGGAATTTAAAAAAAAAAAAAAAAAAAAAAAAAGGAACATTAGTCTCAAGGGAAAACTTATAGTTTAATGCCTACATTTGTCTTATTGTATGCCGGAAAAATTCCTAATAGCCATTGAGCAGCTTTTACTAAATCCTACTTTTCTGTTAAGCAGCAATATGCAAGTAGCAATTTTGTCCTGTAGCAAACCTTGTATAAAAAGGCAATCCTTTCAGTTCAAATCCACAGTAACTGCTACCTTGTTCAATTGCTGTTGTAAAATAGAAAATACAATGATGTTGCCCATGCCCCCCACCACCACACTTTCAGTTTGCTCAAAGGCGGTCTCGGTTTTTGTTTTCACTTGCAGAGCTCTCAGTGCAGTGCTGCTCAGCATGTGGAAGCAGCTCCACCCAGGGTTTGCCCACCTTTTGCGAAGCAGATGATAGTGAATGCTTGCTACACACACACACAGAGCACTGCATGTTTTTGAAAGGGGTGATCCTCCCTCTTTGTTTCCTCTCCTAATTATTGCACATATTTTGCCTATTATTTTGTCCTGCTGGAAAACACATGCTTTCTTCCAGCACTGGAACAGGGGCTCTAATACAACACTGCCACCAGGTCACAGAAACAAGATGGTTTTTATAGGCTACCATGCCTCATCTTTAACTCATGAAAGTACGCTAGTAGACCAATTTGCAACTTCCTCTCTTTCTGCTACTGACAAAGACCTACTGACACTCCATATTTTGGGGAACACAGAACAAACCATGAAATCCAAATGCTCAGTCCGTACCATCTAAGCCAATTTCTTAGTAAAGCAGCAGTTTAAACCAGAAACTGTAGTTACAGCTGAAACAAATTCATCTTGGCAATGGTCTTCACTGAAAAAAAGATGGCTAAGATCCCACATTTTAAAGTTCAGATTTGAGTCCACAAAGCGATGAAGCAGAATGGGTCATATGTCACTCTAAAAACTGTCTGTTCCGACTAGCTGAGACCTTATAGCAGAGGAAGAGTTTGGCTGCTACATGGCAGCAGAGAACACGTAACGCAGTTTGCTGTCTAAGCACTGTCTCTCCATTGGCACATAGACTGCTTTGCTGGTACCTTCCTTTCCCCACACAGGGAGACCAAAAGATTTGAAACGTGTCTGAAAAAAATGAGCAAAACAAAAACATTCCCAGTCACTAACCCAGCGATTACATGTGGGTGGAAGGTCCTGGAAGCTTAGACGACCCAGAGGATGGCGTTGATCCAGGATCTCAGTCATAGCCTTCTCTAAAACAGTTCTGATTCTGCATGCACTTCAGAACGGCTTTTCACCAGGGGTGAAAGCACAGGTGAGAGGAGGGGGGCCAAGTTTATTAGGAAATAAGGAACATGCTTATTGACACACAAGCAAAGGGAAATACAGGGGCTGGCAAAACATCCATAACCTCCATAAGCAAAAGAGCCCAGTTCAGCTAAGGCTGAGCAGCTCGCTGGGCCCAGGCTTTTCCTGTCTCCCCATTGCCAATTTATCCACAACCGAAACCATTACAGCCCAAAGATCCAGGCAATCTCGCAGTTTCCTCAGCAGGCAAACAGGGACACGCGTTCCCGGAGATGGGGAATCGCTGAGCTCTTTGGGGTTTCCATGCTGCTGCTGCAGTGCTGCAGCTCAGCACAGCAGAGGAACTTGGCTTACTCTAATGTACCAAAACACTCATCGTTGGCTTCAGCTAGAAGTTGGTGTGCTGAGTATACTGTGTCAAAATAAGAGAAACTGGTGTTTATTTTGGGCTTTCTGTAGTATGTGGGTTTTTTGAGTACGGAAACGTGTAGATAACAGACAATCAGAGGAAGGCAGGAAAGAGGATTTAAAGACAGCTACAGGACAGGCTGTCTAGTGCATCTGATACTGAAATGCCATGCAAGAGAGTGAAAACTAGTTCCAAAAGAGGGACAAAACCCTTCTTTCCCCACTGTCACACCTCTGTCATTTTCAGAGGTGGGGCTAATCTCACCCTTAGGGAGAGCTGCTATTTTATTTCAGATAGATGATAGATAATTTAATGTGTCATAGAAAAAAACTTGAGTCAGCTGCTGCGTGATGTGGGAGGGATGCAAACGGTTCACGTCAGGTTCTGGTGGTCCTCAGCAAGCATCTCCTTACGCTCACCACGTCCTGACCATTTCCCACTCTCATCTGCCCACATCCCTTTTCCTTCTAACACAGCGTGCACCCCGCCATAAGGCTGAGGAGCCAATTTTCTCAAACAATTGACCCAAATAAAGCCTCCATTTGGGAGCACAAACAGCACTGAAAAGATTATCTAAGTGTTTCAACTTATACTACAATTTATCTGTGCATTTTATTTCAACCAGAAGTGAAATGTGGTCTAACAGCCCAAGGCAAGAGGGCAAAGGGTTTTTTTTGCGGGACATCATTGCACAGTCTTTAATTCATTTATATGTATGTCCAAGAGGAATTAGATGAGGAAAACTCTAAGCAGGATGAGCCGAGGTTTGGCCAAGCTGCTGGGAGCAGCAGCTCTGTTCTCGCCACGGCATTCCCCAAAGTCTTGTGCCCTCTCGGAAAAACAGCAGGTTCTCAAACAAAAGCAGTTCACGTCTTCGACTGTGCGTTCGAAAACAGTCAGCGTTCAAGTGCACAAGCACAAGTACTTTAAAACAGGGCACAAACATTACATTTTGCAGCTAGAATGCTACACCAAGAAACGCTGACCAGAATCCGCCTACAAAAAGGCGAACTGTTTGGAATTAAAAAAAAAAAAAGCAGCCACACGCGGACACGCTGGGGAGCCACAGCTGGGGATCAAAGCGCACCGCAGCAGTGGCAACAGAAAAGCTAGAAAGCTCTGAACGAGAGGAGCCTGGGGGAGAGCAGGGCGCCGGGGAGGGCCAGGGGCAGTAACCTGAGAAGCTTGTACGGCACCGGCACCGGAGGCGATAACAGGAGAAGGCCATGTCAGAGGACTGCCACAGCCCTGGAAACTCCTGAGAGCCTGAGGGCACTCACCTGGCAGTTTGGGCCAGTCCCTCCAGAGCCTGGATAAGAGCATCGCCATCACTCTTCAGGCTCTCCCAGTGCTTTGCGTTTGAAGTTATCTGGAACGAAAAGAAAGTTAGTTATCAAAGGCTTCGCGAGAAATTCCTCTCTGTCATTTTTTTTGCAGGATAGGGGAGAGGGAAACAAGCTCCAGCGTTTGTTGCAATCATAAATGGAACGTGACAGTAACGAGACCCCAGAGAAAGCCCCTTCTGCTGAACAGGGCTGAGTTTTGGGCAAACTCTGTCTAAAATGGCTTGGTTTAATTAACCAGACTCACTCTTGTTCTGGGTCCCTGTATGTGTGAAAATTCACACATCACAGCCTGCCAATCCTGACTTCATATTTAGTACCAGTGCAAACACAACACCCATTTATTCTGAATTTCAGGGAGATCTCTGGGAGGCAATCGCTTCCATGTTGTCACTTGAGGGAGAAAACAACCAAGCCTCTAACAGCCTTCAGGTCAGGACATGTGGGTTTTACCTAAGAGGTTAAACTAAGGTTAAAAATCACTGCAACATTAGCAATTGCCTATTCGATTTTTTTTTGTTGCTGCTCCTCAGCCATTAGGAATACTGCCTGCTCAGCACAGTCATCTACAAAAAAGGGGAGCGACGGGCCAAAGCTGGGTGCCCTTTTGCACCGAGTGAGTTCTGTTTACAGCCAGTTTTGCCGCAAGTGTTTTAACACACTGATCTGTAATGAGTGGTTTATTGATTCTCCAGCCTAAAGCAGTATAACTGTACAGCTACAGGTGGCTGCATGCTTCCTGACCATGTCAACAGGAAGGTCATGGTGGACATAACATGAAATTGCCTGGCACCGTGGCACGGACACTGGATACTTGACAGGTTACTGAAGAAGCTCCCAAACCTCGACAAATCACTGAAAAAAGATTTGCGTGTCAGCTCCTGCTTGCACAGGTACGTAAATCTTGGCCAAAGAGAAAGGGAAATGAGAAGAGCAGGGCAGCTGATTATATTGATACCTGAGGAGTTAGTGTTTGAAAAGACGACTCTTAATCCCAAAATCTGGCAAGGACTTTCAAGCTTTAAACATGCCACGGCTGGTCCTACTTAGCCATTGATCAAGCATCTGGCTGATGCACCTTTAAGTCTCCCTCTTAAATCACAAGAGAAGCTGTATTTACAGCTGTCATCCCACCATGATTTATCAGCAGCGGTTCTACAACAACAGTGTCCCTACATCTATAATCATAACTTCCTACAGTTACACAATGACAGGGAACAGGGAGCTGTCTGCAGTAAACTCAAATCTGTCCTGTGTGTCGGAAATAAAACTGTGACCCCATTACCCAAGCACAAATCATTGGTAAATCCTAATTACAGGTCATTAAGCCTTTTTACTCTCTTGAGGTTTATATCTGAGCCCTTCAATTTATATTTCCGTAATCCATTCTTCTTTAATTGTCATCCTGTAGATACGGGAGACTTTTTGCAATCTTTGTTCTGAATTTAAAACAGAGACACACTGAGCCAATTGTCGCAATAAAGCACTTTTCTCTCTCGGCATCTGCAACCACAAAACATCATGTTTTCTTCCTAAAGAGTACTCGCGCCTCTCTTAATCACTTCTCATAACTCCTGCAACTAATCAGCCACTGCCACATGCTTTCTACTTGCCACACTCATCCCTCGTGTTTATCCAGCACACTTGAAAGAGGAAGAGGTCATGGGGGTTGGGGGGGAGGGGTGGGGGATCATGTCACTGAAGATCAGATCATGCTCCATAAAACTAAGAGGTCATATAAAGGTTACACAGATATCCCTAATTCCAACATATCCCAACTCTTAGATGCTGGAATTTGTACAACCTTCATTTTCTTTTAACAGATTGGCCTTTGTGCATAATACATAGACAGAAAATTCAAAAAGTGCTCCACTGTAAAACCTTGTACAAAATAAATTTTTAATTCTAAAATGCTCTACTTCAATCAATAACTTAGTCCAGCTGAGTAACAGGACCTGACTGTACGGTTGGTTGCCTATGCTGCAGTGTGCCTTGTGTCATTATTATTAACAATTCGTTTTTGTGGTTACAGTACATCTGAATGGAAAGGATTAAAATGGTTTTCTCTGCGCAGAAATTGTAATGGATAGAAACAGAAGGACCTATGAGATCATCTCCTCTTCCTCGGCAGCAGCCTCCCTATTATACTTTACTGCTGAGCGCAGCTTCCAGCCCCGAGCAGTGGCCTCCTGTGACTCCCATTTGTAGGGGCTACTCCACTATCGCATAAAATGCTTTAACGAGATCCCTTCAGCAGCTAAGGTGGTACCGCAAGGAGGGAAAGGATCAGGTCTTTAACATCATTAGCAGCTGGGAGATATTTTAAATTAAGACTGAAGCAAACTTGCATTTCTAGAACATCTTTTCAAGAGAGCATCGAATAAAAGCTTCACACAGAACCAAGTTGCATTAGTGATAAAACAGACACCTGTTCTGCGGGCAGTACCAACTATATAGCACATCATAGAAAATGTGCACGGACAAAATCCAGCCCTACAAGATTTACTCACACAGCTGGGGTTTCCACACCTACCCTGGATCACCAGGGTCCGGAAAACTGTATTTTATTTACCACGAGGAATCCACACCACAAACTTGTCACACTTCTGGCCTGGGAGAGGATCAATGCTGCAGTAGCAGAAATGCTGCAGGTTGACTATGGCGGGGAGTTGCTAGTGCCCTGGAAATAGCTTGAAAATAGCTTGAACGCGCTCGCTTACCTGTTCAGACTGTGTAGTATATCTTATTGTTCACTCCATTACCAAAAGACCTCTCAAATAAGACAGATTAGACCCTGCTTCGTGTAAAGGTCTTAAGAAATAGTCTGTTCAAATTTAAGAACCAACATAAAACTGTATCCATGAATTCTTTTTAAAAAATGTTCAGTTTTTGTCTTCATTTTGTTTTGTAAATAAAAATAATAACACAGAACATCATCAATAATCCAGCTATTTGAAATGCACATATTTTTCACTGATTTTATTATCTTTTTCTTCTGCCTAGCATTACTGTATGATTTACCCACACCAGTTCTATTTTTAAGAGTTCACTTCGAATTTTAACAACTGGTTTAATGATCTCTTGTAATAATGCTGATTTGTTAGGGCTGGCTACAACACATATTCAATGACATAATCAATAGCTATTCCTTTAATTAAAAATGTAATTAAATCTCAGTTTAGTGGTGCACTCATTGCAATTTAATAAGAATTTGAAAATGACTTTTCTTTATTAAGCTAATAACTATTCAGCAGCTTTCTTCTCTTCAGTTCTATTAAACAAGGATGAGTCATAAAGAATACTGTAATTGATATGTAAAGATCAGTATTTCCTAAAATTTAGAGTAGCTGTTCAGGCATTATAGTGCTGCTAAAGGTGAGTGCTGGAAGAGATACATCATGAAACACTCACTGGAAGAACATCTTCACTAATAAATCAAGGAGTCTTGGATTCTTGGTTTAAGCAAAAGTGACTTTTGCAATTCAATTGGTAATTGCAATTCAAAGGTAAAAGCTAGAATTAGCTATATATGGAAATAAGACCTCTGGTTTCATAATCCTGAACTAGTTTCACCGATTAGTTGTAACTACCATTTTGTAATTTATGACCAAGTTAAATGTCCTAAGAAGTAATCTGTTCTCTCATCATTTTGAAGAACAAGAAATTCTCCTACTTTGTTGAGGTTTCACTTGAACTGTAAGCTCAACATCTGTGAGGTCAACTGTACTGAAATGGGGAAATAATGTATTTATTGCATAAAATAAGGAACTTTTTAATTTGAAAGCTTTTTTTTTTTGGTTGAAGATAGGCCTCAGGAGGATATTTAGCTGCACCATCAAATGTTTTCTTCTCAAATAAACAATTACTTGAGATGTTTACCATTTCCTCCCTCAACAGATTCATTTTTACAAGCTATCACTGTGTACACAGAAAAAAGCAAGTCATTTCATAACTGTTTTCACATAAACTTGAATTTTTCTCTTCCACAAGCACGGCTCAATATTTTTAACCTCATAAAGGGATGCTTTCTAATTTTTTCTCAAAGTCTAGGACAATTAAGCTAATTACCTTTGCAGCGTCAGTTAGCTCAAGTTTTCACTCAACTTTACCAACACTGACCGAGAGCAGTCACATAAATTTTCCTAATAAAAAATTAGGCAGCAAGGAGTCAAGCATGCTCCTACTGCCCAGTAGGCACTACTTCAAATAACGTCTTCATAGGAGGTGCTGCCCCAGAGTTTAAAACGTGCATCTCAGACTTCTCATTCCTGCCTCTGCCTTTGAGTGGCTCAAGGGACTGTCGGCAGGACACAGAGCCGTTCATCCCTAAAGCCGCTTTTCCAAATTCAGTCCAGCTTGGTGGTGACTGAAAGTTGATGGCTATTTGCAGCTACTTACTGTGACTTTATTCCCACTTTTAAGAAACAAATGTCACAAAATACAGTGGTGTCAGAAACATCACTGTGGCTGTGCCAGCCCAGTAAAAAACTCAAAGGGTTGGTTGAAAACTTCAGAAACGTGACAGAATGGCTGGGTTGGAGCAGAAAACTTTCTAGTATTGCTGCCCATCTTTTGCCTATCCCAAGGCATTTAATGGTACTTCTTCCACCCAGGCTGCCAGCACTGAGCTATTCACAGGCGCTGGACGCAGCTAGAAACACTCAGCCTTCCCGTATTACAAATGAGCACTGTAACCAACTATATACTGCAAACAGGGACTTGCTCAGGTGAGCCTCTATGTGACTTAAAACTGACGGGCCCACTGATCGTGTTCAAACTTACTAAATATAAATATTTCTTTCAAAATAAATCCCTCTCCTGGCACATACATTAAGTGGGCATTGTCCAAAGAAGGCATATCAAACGGCTGCCGTTCTTTCTGTAGGCCTGCGCACTACAGCTTACAAAGTAACGCAGTGTCATTAAGGGCCAGACCCAATAAAGGATTCGTAGCCTATAAAGTAGATGCTGCAAAGGCTGTGTTTTAGGTGTCAGCCCCCAGCAAGGAACCCAGGGCCGAGTCCTA